TAAGACTGTGCCCCTCTACTGGAGGAGTTATAGGATTTTTTGACTTATAATATGTTACTTGGATTACCACCTTAACAAGAAAGTGAACATACATACCTCATCCTAGGATTAGTGCTCTCCAATTGATTGGCCTATCAAATGAGACCAATAGAGTATGAGAAGTTACAAAAGCAGGTTGATGATCTGATGGCCCTGGGACTAGTCTGTAAGAGCAGCAGTTCTTATGACATATCATCTTTGATTGTGCCCAAAATTTTAAGTTGTATCACATGTGCATTGATAATGGGGGTAGTGAATAAGATTTTCAGTAAGTATTGTTTCCCTATTTTGAGATTAGATGACTTACTGGATGAGTTGCATGGTGCTAGCCTTTTTTAAGATAATTTTAAGTATTGGATACCACTAGATTGAGATAAGACTTGAGGTTGAGTGGAAGACAACTTTCAAGATGTGGGATATGTTGTATATATAGACAGTCATGCCTTTTGGCTTGTTTGATGCCCTGAGCACCTTTATGTCCTGATGAATCAAGTTTTTTAAGTTTTTTTCAGTGTATGTTGATGATATTTTAACGTTAAAACAGTCATAGGGTGGTATTTGCAACACCTATGATAAGATTTTGGAGTTATTATGAAGTTGTACTATCATTTAAAGAAGTCTCAATTTCTGAACCTCTAGGCATGCGTTATTGGATATATTATTTTGTTGTTGGGATTAAGATGGAGTTAGTTAAAATTGAGGTTATTGTGAACCAGCCCATCCACCTGTCATTAATTTATATACGTCAGTTCCATGGATTGATTTCTGTTTATAGAAAATTTGTCATAAAAAAATATTTCTATTGCAACACTTTTGATAGAGCTCCTTAAGGCAGAAAATATTTCACTGTTAGATGAAGAAGTTAGCCATATCCTTTGAAGTAGTAGATTACTTATGCCCTTGTTTTAGCACTTCCAAATTCTAGTCAGGTGTTCAAAATGGAGTGACATCACACCTCCAACATGGGGATTTAAGCTCTATTAAGTTAGAGAGGACATCCCATAGCCTATTATAGAGGGATGCTAAATGATTCTATATGGCAATAATTACTCTACTTGCACGAGGTGTTTAATGCCAATATAAGAGCTCTTAGCTACTTGAGTAACTATTTACTGGCTAATGGGTTCACTCTCTACATTGATCATGAAACTTTGAAATAGAGCAGAAGGGAAGACGTGTCTTGTATGTAGAATTCTCTCTACATTTCATTTTATGCTCATGCACAAAGTTGGGAGTAAGATAAAGATGGCTGATGCTCTGATCCGCCTACATATATTGATCACTACCATGCAATCAAAGGTAGTAGGATTTAAGTTGTTGATGGATGCTCATGCCACTTAACAAGGATTTTCAGGTGATTTGGGTTTACTGTTAGGATAGATTGTATGAGCTGTTCCACATATTTGATGGCTACTAATTCTATCAAAATTGGTTGCATTTCTTGGAGTTCACTTAGACAGTATTTTGTAGGAGTGTCACAATGGAGAGATGACAGGAAACTTAGACAGTGATAAGATTCTATCCTTAGTACAAGAGAATTTTTATTAGCCTTAATTTGTACAAGAAATGGAAGGACATTCGATTATGCAAGATTTGTCATTTAGCTAAGACCCTAGGGCAGAATATAAGCTTATATACTTCCCTTCTTGTTCCGTAGTCACCTTTGGTGGATATGAGCATTGATATTATTGCACGGCTCCATTTGATCCAACAAAGCAAAGATTCCATCCTATAGAGGTTTAGTTGCATGATCTTGCTGCTTATTGGCTGTTGCTAAACCTTGTGGGTGATATTCTTGCATTATTTGAAATGAAATTAAGGTTATTTTGCTTGGTAACATTTTAAATGTGTTGTTAATTTTTTTGGCACACTTTTTGGCTTTGATTTGTGCTAGAGATTGTTTCTCTTGGTTTTGACATTAAAGGAGTGCTATTATAACGATCTAGCCCGAGACTTAGAGTTTCCAAGTCAAGAACAGGCAGTCAGATGAAAAAATTAACATTTTCTCTCTAATAATGAATCATTCAAAAATATTGAAAGAGCCACTACAGAAAAAAAAAGATTTAATACAATTATAATTTGACCTTCCTATTTGATGACCTCATATTCTATACACATTGTGTTTCCCATTATTCATATTTTAAACATATGTCTAAACTTGAAAATATAAATTTAAAACAAAGAGCTATCAATAACTTGTAAATATTTATAGTTCCAATCTACAATAATGTAACAAAAAAGAGATAAAATGCATACTAGTTAAATATATCTATTTAGTTTAATTTTTTTTAATATTCAATTATGACCATTTAATAAATTTCAGAACATTGAATAGTAAATTACAATAACTTATATATATTTACATTTTATCAAGAGCACCGTCTAAATTGCATATTAAGTATGGTACACCAATATCAATAACTTCTTTCAATTTCGTGGATGGGCACCTTAGTGTCTTCACCTAGTACCAAAAGTCGGTAAAGTTCATCATTCAACATACACAATCAAACAAAATATAAATCATTTTATTTGCATTCTACTTATTATTCAATATTTTTCATTTATAATGTGTATACATAATTAATAATATAACTATGTGAATCCTTCACATTTATTTCTATTTGATCAATTTGATTAACTAGACAATTCAATACTTGCAGTATTAAGATATCTAGACAAATATCATTGATAATTTAGAAGTAAAAGTACTCACCTCGAGCTTAGGTGATTCATTTGTATATAAGTTATATCAACTTTATTCCAGTTGACTACCTATAATTATACATATAAAATATTCTTGTTAATTTATTATATTTTAATTTTATCAGTTAGAAGTAATTTGATTTTATCTTATCTTTAATGTATTATATATGAATCATAATTTTATTTTAGATTATTTAATCTATTTCTCAAACAATATTATTATTTACCTACTATTAGTTTATTAAATATTTTATCAAACTTCAATTATAATGACTTTATTAATATTTAGAAAAACTTCTAGATATTATAAAAATTAGATTTTAATAAATTTAATTATAATTCCTATGTCATTAATGTTCACAATTTTTTAATTAATGCATAACCTATTTTATAAATTTAATTTTTTTTGTTATATTTTATTATCATTTTGTTCATTGTTATTTTCATGTCACAACATGCTTTTAACTATTTCTTTTAAACAAATTAAACTTAGTAAAAGTTTATTTTATTTTTTTTCATTTAAATTGCCAATTTTTATAATCCTTCAACTTTTAACTTTTATTATGATAATACTATTACTACTACTATTGTTATTACACACGCACTCGGATAATACTATTACTACTACTATTGTTATTACACACACACACACTCACACTCAACTACACAGTAATAACAATATTCTTATTTTTAAAATTTCTTTAAAAATATATCAACTTAAAAAAAGCATTTGTTACTTTACTACTTCCTTGCACACAACAAGCACATCACGAGTCACCCAATCCTCTGCACATGTTTTACTTCTCTACAGTCTGAATTCTCAATCGAGTTCGACATGGAGATCACTCTACTTAAGCTCGTCGTTGATAAACCCACTATCTTCATTTTCATGACAGTGATGCCATGTGCAATTGGGATGAAGCTCTTTGTGTTTTGCCTTAGCTTGTCGTCGAATCGAGCTTGCCCATTTCGAGTTCCTACAACCTCGAGTTGGAATCACCAATCCCTTTTCCGATTGAAGGAAAACACCCATGCGTCGATCGCTCGCGTGCAACTCTCGACTTAAAAAATCATCTATGTTTTCTCTTTGCATGCACATCAACCTCATCTTCCACCCTTATACTACTCGATGAAGCCCACCGATTGCTCTTTGTTCGACTGGAAGTCACGCCATGCCGATTTCTTTGCTTGCATCTTTCTGATTCACTTCTCAGGAAATTAAAGCTATTCGACTATGAGAAGGGGGTTCCGTTCCTCATTTGTCAAGTTAACCTCTTTATAATGACGCTCTCACATCCTTCACTACCTCGCTTCGTCGCCTCCACTCAAAGCACTAGCATTATGAGTCAAAATATCAAACCCATCATTATAAATGTATCATTTTTCTCTTGCAAGTGGTGTGCTTAAAGCTTGTTCGGGATTATGAGTGGATCTCTCTAGGTGTCCATACTTGCACCACACCATTTTGCTGTGTTTCTGCTATCTTTTGCCTTGGACAGCAGCCACTATTATCCTTTTGTCCTCCAAACTTCACAAACTTCACATATTGTCTTCCTCTTGTCTTTCTACTACAGCTCATCACTAGATTTGATTCGCAAACACCTTCTAGGTACATTACAATATTCCCATGAATCTTCATTACTTGTAAATCAGGCTATTGATGAAGGCTCAAGGAAACCTAAAGAATTTTGGAATGACCCTAAAACTTCAAGCTTTTTAATTTTGATTCTTTATTTATTCCGAGTAATTGAAACTAAAGATTGTGTCATCAATATATTATGAATTTAAGATTTTTACTAATTATATAGTGAATTGATCAATTATTTTCTTGGCCCTGTTTATGGGTCCATTTGTTTTTAAGGCACCAAAATGAAGGGTGCGATGAAGGTTTTGCTAGACAAACATTTTTAAGCATAGTTAAAATAAGTTCCTTGAATATCATTTATTAAATAGTATTTCTTACCAAAATAGAAGGCCATTAGATATATTACGCCTGTAAACATGGTTTGTAATGTTTCTTTTTCCAGTTGTTTTATTTGTCCGTAAGTATTGCATTTTAATTTTAATTTAGTAGATTTTCTACCATATCATTTGATGGCTTCAAGTATATCTTTATCTAAGCACAGAGAAATACATCGAATCATATTGTGTTACTAAATTTAGTAGATTTTCTACCATATCATTTGATGGCTAAGCACAGAGAAATAGATCGAATCATATTGTGTTACTGATGTTGACCTTTTGGCTCCTGTCCTCAGCATTTGGAGATAATGATTTGGTGCATTCAGCATGACTTCCTTGAGAATGTCCAGTCTTGCTTTCCTGACTATCAATCATGGGCATCACAAACTCAGGAAAGAAAATCAGCAGCTATTAAGCAATCCTGGCCTGATAATTCAAGTTATTTGGCATATTGTGGTCCTCGATCTGAGTCTGCATTGTTCATTGAGATGGCATTGTCCAATCTTGAAATAGAAGAATCCTATGGAGACCAACATGATGAAATAGATGTATATTGCTTGCAGGATACAAATTCTCCAATGATTTTTTCGTCAAAAATTAGCGAGTCTTGTAGGAATAATGCATCAGGATGTTATCCTTTTAAATATGCACGATCTGCCATGGATGTAATCTTTTTACGCGGAGCATCTGATATGGTGGTTGCAAAAAGAGCAATTGTATCCTGGAATGTTTTAAAATTTATTATTATTATAATCTATTATGAAAGATTCTTTTTTTGCAGCTTTTTTATTATCCTTAACATGCTTGTAGTTCTTATATTATTTATTTGACCGGCATTGGTCTTTACCAGATTCAAAATGGAGGTATTTAGTTGATGATTTTGCCTCGTCATTTGGTATAGGCAGACTTCCATTGTTGGAATCTCTAGTGTTTTATCTTCTCGATGATCACACTGATAAGGCCTTGCAGGTAATCTTTCCATTTCAAGTATTTTTGTTTGTTTATGAAATCAACAGTATCGAACATGCAGAAGTCGGTGTTTCTTTTGCAAATTTTGATGAAAGATCTTGGCATGAATGATATATCTGATAAAATAGAAGCGAAACATGGGAGGGAGTTGAGCTACAATGTTTAAGAAATATTATATCTTAACTGATATGCTTTAAGATATATTTAATCTGAGGTGCTATGATTTGAATTTGTATATATAGAATATTCAGAAAAAATACCTGGTAAATCTGCCTGATGTTGATGTCAAAGCCTCTTTGATTGGAAGAAAATGTTCTTTGTTGACCATTTTCCCCATGAGTTAACTACTAATTGAAAGCCCGAATGAGTAATCTGAAGATTCATCTTTGGATCGGACTAACATTTACATCTCAAAAGCTTCTTGTCATGGATGACAATTTTGTCCACATAAGCTGACTAAGCTTTAAGATCTAATTTTGGAGGCAAATGCCAACATGAAAAAGTATCAGGAATAAAAATATTGTGAAATAAATAAAATTGTTTAGATATTTTGTCCATCCACTAACTTCTATTAAGCACATTTTGGCATTATTTTTTTTGTTGTTGAGCTGCATAGAGCTAGGTACTGCTTGTTTTCATTTTGGCCTAAAATTGACTTAAATTTTAAATTTAAGGAATTTTGGTGAGCGGCCGAAATTGAAGAATTGATAATACTTCTCTTTTTTATTGGAAAACTTCCCTACTTGGGATACTTTTATGCTCTTTTATTTTATAAAACAACTAAATTGATAATAAAATGGCTTTTTTTATTTCTTTTTTTGAAATCCAAATTACGTTTCTTAAAATGCTAAGAACATTTATGAGGCAATGTTGATTTTTTTCAAAATTTTTTGAAATCCAAATTACGTTTCTTAAAATGCTATGTTGATTTTTTTCAAAGTTTTCTTCAATGAGGCAATGTTGATTTTTTTCAAAATTTTCTTCAATGTTTGTGATCCCCATTCTGTTTTTCCACTCCCTTTCACATATTTTCGGTCCATCTTCCTCAGCCTTTTTGTCTTCATCGATCCCAACTTGTGCTTTGGCAGCATTTGTAACGATTGTTTTGCCTTCCTCTAATGTCAGACATGTTTCCACTCAACAATGTATGCTCCGCTCTGCAACAAAGTGAAAGAAATAGAGCCTACATGGGTTGATCTACTATGGTGGGTCATTAGTCTCTATGTATTTACCTTTGAGATTAGCAGGGTTGATATTGAGGTTGATCCTTAAATTGAATGGCTTGAAATCTACATGTTGGATTCAATTATCATCATCTTGTTTGGATCTCAGAATAATATCGGGGTGACAAATGATGGCTTTCATGAAAGGCTTGGAGTCGACTGGGGTTGCGTTCATTTGGGTTATTTGACCACTGTATGGGTTGCACATAAATAATTGTTTGAAGCTTAGAAATTGCTTTTGGATGAGTTTGAGATAAAGATGGAGAGAAATATTTGGGGTTTGTTTGGAGAGGATATCGATGGGGGAGATGCTATCAGAAGGGAGATGACAAAGGGGTTGGCCATCATGGCAGTTTTGGGGAATTGGTATTTATTATTACTATTATTTTATTTTTACTGGCTTTAAAAATATATTAGAATGTCAAGAAATAATATGAAAAAAAACAGAATCAAAACAAAGTAGAAACACTGATAAAAATGAAAAACAGAAGTTACCTCAACTACCCCTTCAGTTTATTGAAGTTTCTACTACTATTATTTTTTGAGTTCAATTTTTGGTCAAGTTGAAGTCTTCATGTAGAATTATGATTTTAGGATTGTCGAGGTTTCAGTTTTTGGTTATTGTTGTCGGCCTTTATGTATGACTTTTATCCTTATTGTTTCTTTTCAAGATTGGCCTGGCTGGGTATGCATGGTTTATGCCACCATATCCGCTCCACTTTTCAAGTTTGGCTAGTTAAATACTACGATTAGTAGACATGGGCTAATTGCCATGTAATAATACTCCCACTACTATTGAAGGGGTAAATGGTTGCCATAGTGGGTAGAAAACGTTTGATTTTGTATTTTTCTGTCATGTTAATAAAGTATTGTTCACCTAATTTTGAGCCATATTTCTCAAATCAATTAGGTCTAATATGGAATTAATTCTTCAAATTCTGTTCAAATATTATGCTTGATTGGAACAAATTATAGGCTTAAAGAGCCAAACTAATTTCCTAATCAGTTCATCAATCATCATTGTAAGCAATTCTTTAATTTTTTTCAGACGTTCTAAATGTAATGATCAAGTGATTGAAGTTTTAATGGATTGGATCTGAACAAGATATCTCTGTTTCAACCACACATGTATAACCCTTAGGGCTGCACATTGTAGGGATCAACCCAAAGAAGCTCACGCCTGTCACCCTCATTGTTGCATATAATGCCACCACCTCGGCCTCATTTTATGAGTGAAACACTCATTTTTGGTACCAACATTTTCTTTTGTTCTTGTTCTCACTCTTCTCCTCTTCATCTTCACTCTTATATTTTTTGTATAGCCTTCGTGTAAATTGTTTGCTTGACATTCATTCATGCATTTTATGCACTCTATTCCCAATTCTCTCGCAACCACTTTTCTATGCTCTGCTCTTTATTAAACCCAACACTTGTGGTGCCCTGCTCTACTTGAAATACCATGGCCCCATGAGTTTGTTATTGTGTTTAGTCTCCATCAATGCATGAAATACAATTAGAATCCAGAGGAGCATTGAATTGATGGTGATATGCAACCATTCATGGTGCATTAGGTTAAATATATGACGATGGTAACCATTCATGGTGCATTAGGCTAAATATATGACGTTTCTAAGCATTTAATTTTCATGAAGTGAAAAGTTACCACCCTTCCACGAAGATATGTAATTCAACCTGCTGAAGCATAGTTGAAGGCTACAATAAAAAACAAAGGGCTATGACAAACTATAACAGCTTAATTCAAAGGAGTCTTTTCTTGAAAAGTAGAAGAGTGCCTCATCTCAAATAATGAAAAAGTTGATGAGAGCAGGAATTATTTCTCTATCAGCTTAAAGGAACCCTTGCCGCTTGGACAAAGGAGAACTTGTGCTTATTTCTAGCAAATCAACTAGGGAAAGCCTTAATCTCCCCAGGAAGGTTGTGTTACTCTTACTTTGGTAATAGTCATTCTAATGGATATGATGAGCATGAAATTGCTTTTTCACAATCTTCAAGTAAAAGGCAACTTGGAAGAGTGATGCTAGCTATGGCCTCTAAATACTACTCACCTGCTTGATGGAAATCTCTTTGGAAAAAAACTTTGCTTAAGAAAATAGATGGGCAAACTCATCATTTTAAAAAATTTCTAGAAACAATGACACCTCCAAACACATCTAGGATTATGAGAAATTCATTGTATCTTGGGTACACTCAATCTTGATGCCCACCAGAGGATGTGTGCTCTACTATTATAAGTAATAAAGTTGGTTCATATGTATCTATTATGCCCGAAATTGAGGATCTGATTGTTGATCTAAACATGTTTCTTAAATAGATTGAAAATAATTATCAAGAAACAATTGTTTTTCTTTGAGAAATCATTCTTGGAATGAAGGATGCAAGAAACAAATTTTTTGTTAGTATGTGGAGCCTGATTGAGCTAGAAGCTTTGCAGGAAAAATTAGCTTTCCATAGGGGTGCCCCGGCGCCCAAGGGACTCCACAGGGGTGCCTAGGTGCTATTAGGGGCACCCATGATCTATATTCTTAGAAACCTGGCGCCCAAAACCTTCATTTGGAACTCATGCAATTGGAATTTCGACGACTAGGAGCTGCACAACTGCGCCGTGGTATGTTTGTTTCTAGGCTCTGAAGCGAAGACACAAAAAAAATCGACTCTCTAAATAATGTTACAATGCTTAGAAGAATGATTCTAGACATTTGAGTGTGGAAAGACAGCGCCCAGGAGTGGCACTCTAGTGCCACGAGTGGGTTCTCTTTTGATCGCGATTAAAGTACTAGACTTCTATATAGGGAAAGCATCTCTTGACAGTGCATGTAACATGAGCGGGATGACGCAAGCGGTGTTGCTAGCTATGTGTTGAATTTTTGTTGTTTTCTCTTGTGTGATCAAGAGAGGAGCGTTCATGAGTCTCATGCTTGTAGAAATGAATTGAGTGTGATGTAATTTGTACATTTCTCCTCATGTCATATTGAAATTTTTGGTGTAGATATGTGGTTTTTTTCGTTCTCTGGTTTTTGATGTTAAATTGTGTGATTTTGTTGATTTCTTGTATTGTGCTTCTATTTAATTTTTGTTCCAAATCTCTCGAATCAATATTTTTTTGTGGTGTGATTTTTTGTGAATCGATTGTGTCCAATTTTTCCATCCCGACAAGTGATATTAGAGTTTGGTTTTTTGAAGATATTTGATTCAAGTGCGAGTAATGCCTGACGAAGTTAGGTACAAGTTTTGAGAAGTTCAATGGTTCGAACATTGTGTTATGGAAAATGTAAGTTGAAGATTTGCTCTATCAAAAGAAATTTTATCTGCCATCGGGAGGAATCACCAAAAAGGCTTAATCTATGATTTTGGAAAAATGGGAAGTGCTTGATCGAGTAACATTAGGTTTGTTTTATCTTTCACTTATCTGTTGCTTTTCACATTGTTAATGTGAAAACTAAAGTGGATATCATGGCGACACTGACAGTGATGCATGAGAAACCTTCAACTTCAAATAAGAGTTTTTTGATGAAGAGATTATTCAATATGAAAATGGTGAAAATTAGTTCAGGGGTTAAACATTTAAATAATTTCAACACTATGACGAACCAGTTGTGTTCCGTGCGCATTAAGTTTGATGATGATGTCATAACAATGTTTATTTTGTTTTCATTGCCAGATAGTTGGGATGGACACATCACAATGATGAGTAACCCTTCGGGTAATATGAAGTTAAAACTTTGATGTCATTTGTGGGATTAGTTTCGAATAAAGAAG